TGAACAACACGTACTTTCAACTGTACGTCGTATAGTTTTAAATGAGCATATTGTATGGCAAGACTATCGTGATATCATTATGATATAAGATATTGCTATCATAGCTCAACATCACGTACTTTCAACTGTACGTCGTGTAGTTTTAAACGAGCATATCGTTTGGTAAGCCTATCGTGACATTCTAATGATATAACAACGTGCCATCTTAACTTAACATCACGTACTTTCAACTGTACGTTGTGTAGTTTTAAATGAGCAAATTGAATAATAAGCCTATTGTGACATTATAATGATATAACATCGTGCTATCGTAGCTTAACATTACAAAATTTCAACTGTACGTCCTGTAGTTTCAAGTGAGCATCTTAGCTTAACACGTTGCATCGTGTTGGTTTAAGTCAACAAATTGTATGGTAAGCCTTTCGTTTCAATATAGTGGTGTAGCATCGTGTTATCTTAACTCTACATCATGTACTTTCAACTGTGCATCATGGTGTTTTAAATCAACAGATTGCATGATAGACCAATCGTAATATCACAATGATATAACATCGTACTATCTCAGCTCAACATTAATTAATATCAAGTCAGCACCATACATTTTAGCTATTCATTTTATTTGTTATCATAGCTGTCGATGTGGATGACTGAGCAGTATCCATCTGCAAGCTAACATCATGCAACGTCAACTTCACATCATGTACTTTAAACCCAACGTTACGTGTGTTTAGCATATCACCACAACATCGTGACTTATCATTATACTATCACGACTAAAGCACTTGTCATTGCAAGTCAAAATTGCGCAGATTCAACTAAGCATATTGTAATTTAGAGTTAGCATTTTGATGACTCAATTCAACATCACGCTGTCTTAACTTTACATTTAAAGCTTCAGCATAACGTTTTGTAAATCTCTAATATATGACAGCTGAGGCTTTCCATATCCATACACTTGAACACAAGTTATTGTCTAGAAACTAAAAAATGCTTATTTTTGACCCCTTTTTAGGCCCCTTATTACTAAACGTTTTGGGCAATTACCACAAAACTCAATTCCAGCTTTCCCTTTGCGAAATGGAACCTTGTAGTAAAATTTCAGAAAGATCCATACACTTACACACAAGTTATTGTCATGAAACTAGAAAAATGCTTGTTTTTTGCCCCCTTTTGGCCCCTTATTCCTAAAATTTCGAGGAAATTAACCCCAAAATCAATCCCATCATCGACCCTTTGTGATATGGAATCTTGTAGTACAATGTCAAAGAGATCCATACAATAACACACAAGTTATGTCTGGAAGTTACAAAAATGCTTATTTTCGGCCCCTTTTTGGCCCCTAATTATTTAACTGTTGGTACCATAACCCCCAAAATCAATCCCCACCTTCCTATTGTGGTATTGAACCTTATGGTAAAATTTCATAGAGATCCATTCACTTAAACTAAAGTTAGAGTGCGAAAACCATTGTGTATTCGGACGACGACGCCGGACGACGACGACGCCAACGTCATACCAATATACGACCACAAAATTTTTTTGCGGTCGTATAAAAAGGGGTATGATCATATTCCATGAATTCATCTCAAAACAGGAGTATTTTTTTAAAAGTCCTTCAATGTTTTACTAAAACACACATTATTAGATTCATATGTATACTGTAATGTATTATCAACATCTTTGCGTATTTCCGAATATTTCGCTTGACAGTTATCATGACGAAAGATGACTCAAAACTGCATGCATTCATGGTAGGTTTTAGAAAAAATTGAGCAATTATCCAAAACTGGCGAGAAGGACCTTATTATTTTATTAGAAGTTATAACATAAACTTCTTTCAGATACACCATAATTTATAGATTAAAGTCTTCCCGTCTATGCAAATTTGCAATATTTTTGTTAACAGCAATATATGATTATCACTAAATATATCAGGACATACAAAAAAATATTGAATACGGGTTAAGTATCATGAATATATCATATATATATATAAAACGTCTGAATAATAGTCAATGATCTTTCCCACGAGGGCGTTGGATCGTTACGAGTAACGATACATGTACACAATAAATAAATTATATAAACGCCTAAAAAGTGTACACAACAACACCAATAACAAAAAAAGGATTATTTATAAATATTTCGGATAACAGATATCCTTCATATATATATATATAGACTTCGAATTCCACGGAGTAGGTCTTTAAACGTTTTGATTTTTCCCAGTTAGTGAAACAAATTCAGGGGAAATTTGCCTTATATACGTAGAAAAAACAATATAATTGAAAATTAAACCCATGTCCCCCTCCTCCCCAAGAAAACACGATTTTGCATGCCTACAGATCCTCATCGCTTCCTTCCTTCATATATATATACAGTTTTGTACTAACAGTTACAATCAATACCAGGCGGTGTATTTCATAATACTTGTGTAAGCAGGCACGAACAAATCAAAAGAAATATAATTGCATGAATTCCATGCGTGTAAAAACTGTTGAGTACTTTTCGGAATACACACTAACGAGATTGGGAAATAAGGGTAGAATGAAATTATAAAACTACCCTCTGTTATCTCTTGATTTTGTTGATTATAAGTGATTTTACGAAAGTTACAATGATTGTTAATATTTAGCAATAAACATACGAAATATTACTCAATATAATTATTATTCAATTAAATGGGAGCTAATCTATCCATGTTCTGCGAAACACGCATACATTCGACTGATTTTATATATTTTAGAAAAGTTAAGGTAGCTCTATAGGTACCTTATACTTAAGTATACTCTTAGGAGTTTTCTTAGTACAAGGGGTTTTATGCATACCACTTAAGTTTTGTGGGCGTGACTTAAACCAACTAAGATTTTACTAAGGAAATACTTAGTTTAAGATTTTTTATGCATAACACTTAGGTAAAAAGGGCGGAGTTTCCTTAACTGAAGTGTTTCCTAAGGAAAATCTTAACTTAAGTAGCTTTATGCATACGGGCCCAGATGCACATTTCCAAAAATAAACTCTCTTCAGTGATGCTTGAGGCAAATACATTAGGAAATCAAAATCCTAATCAATTGTTGAATCACTTTCAACCAGAGAAAATTGTTATAAATTCATACTGAACATTTCTGAACAGAAAAAATAAGGATATCTTCATAATATAAACACGGAATTGTCAAGCAAGGGCTTAAGTGGTGGATTAAATGTCCAGCCACCTGTGACCTGTAACCTTCAGAATTGTTAATATATTTTCAAGGCATCCAATATTCGTTGTTTTTTTAAAGTCAGTTTATAATTTTCCAGAATCTGATGATTTTATAATGAACAAACTGGTTCAAGGATACATTTTCATTCAAATTTCAATTTCACAACTTTTTCCTTAGATCGTCCTGAACCTTTTGCAAGGTTTAGGAAACTTGCTGTTTTGCAATCTTAGAACCAATTGAACCTAAAAGAAACATTTGAAAGGCCTTTCTTCTCCAAGCGTCTGTCCTATTTTTTTTATTAGATGCACAAATAGAAATAATTGTACAATACTAGTACTGATTTCAATGTCCATGACATATATCTCTAATCTACCCAAAAATAATACATTAACATTTTCAAAGATCTGTGACAATGAGGTCAAGGTTAGTTAAATCCTGTCAGATGATACTGGCTTGACCGACAGGTACACCTTATTATCATTCCATATTGACTAATGACCCATGAAAGTGAGGTCAAGCTCAGATGATACCGGCACAACTGACATGTAAACCTTACAATCATTCCATACACTACATATAGTTGACCTACTGCTTATAGTATCAGAGAAATGGACCTAGTCATGTAGCTTTAACCTAGCTCACTGATCCATGAAATGAGGTAGAGTTCAGGTGAACCCGGTCTGACAGACATATGTTGCAAGAACCTATATACCAAATATAGTTATCCTATTACTCATGAGAAATTCACACGACAAAAACTATAAAAAAATATAAATCAGTCACTGAACCATGAAAATAAGGTCAAGGACAATAGACATTTGAGACAGAAACTTCGTAACATAAGGTATCTGCATACAAGTTATGAAGCATCCAAGTCTTCTACCTTCTGAAATATGAAGCTTTATACAAATAGCTTACGCCGCCGCTGCAGCTGGATGGTAATCCGTGTCTTGCAAACAAAAACTCCATCAATCAGGCAGGAGGACCGTGAATCTACAAACCATGAGGAAGTTCCCCATCAAGTATGTAATTATTCTATAGATTTCATAATTTATGATAAAATATCATCTGCAGTTATGACAGGTACTCATAATGCTTCATTCTGTCATTACTGTTAACATATATTTTGGGCATTCAAAGGGTCATGCGTTTCTCAGGTTGTTTATGACATCTGTACACTTAACCTGTTGAATGTGTACCTATTGATACTTTTGTCTGGGAGAACATGATTTATTTATTAGTTGTTATTGGCTTTGAACTTGCTTTCAGTAACTTTGAGTACTCTTATTATGTTTTTTGTTTAGCGTTTTCATGTTTAATAGTTTATTTGTGCTTTGTACCGATTTATTGAATTAAGCCATCTGCACCCAATTTTTACTGTTAGTTCTTAAGTTGCGTTGAAACACCACTTTCCCAGGTCACATTATTTGCCTATTCAAAGGCAGGAGCCTGCAATACAGTGGTCGTCATTGGTTCATGTCCGTCATATGTTTTTCATATTTTTATTGTATAAATTAGGCTTTTATTTTTCTGGTTTCACATTTTCATAGCTGACTATTTGATTATACAGTATGGGTTTTTCTCTCATTGTTGAAGGTGTACTTTGACCTGTAATTGATTTATCTTTGGTCATTTGATCTCTGGTGGGTAGATGTCACATGGCAATCCTACCACATCTCCTTATTTTATATTAATACATAAGTGTTTTTTTTGTCTTCAAAGGAGAACAGGACAGACAACACAAGAATAATTCTGCTTAGACTGGTGGAAACATCATACAGAAAATACAATATACTGTTAACTGGTTGGCTAGAATTTTATTTTAATGTCTATTGAACCATAGCAGCTGCTGTGGAGGACTCACTGTAAAGAAAAGAAAATATTATCAAAACTTGATATCATATTTGATTGATTTTTGGTGTTTTAACGCCACTTTTAAGCACCAATTTTGAGCTATTTCGTGGCGGCCAGTTTTTATTGGTGAAGGAAGCCGGAGTGCCCGGGGAAAAGCACCGACCTTCGATAGGAAAACTGACAATCCTAGTCTATTAAGATTGGAGACGAGTGCACCTTGATATCATAACAAATGTATATAATTTCATGGTTTGTACTAAAACATGGCTCTCTTTACATTTCAGTAAGCAATAATACACACAATAAACTGTTATCACAGAGATATGTCTCGCCTTTTTGTAATTTTGATAATGCAAATGTTGAAATTAAAATAGCAATAGTTTAACATGTAAGTTATACAAATATTCAAAGTCGATGAACCATGACTGAAGGTAAATGGCTAAACAATCTCCATGGAAATGAGATGTGCCAATGCTAATACAACTGCATACCAAATACCATTGACTTATTATAAGTCGTTCCCTTTAAACAAACCTAAACACAAACATTAACTTGTAAACTATATAAAGTTTCAAAGTCAATGAACCATGATGAGAGGGTCGGGCTATATAATCTTCATGGAAACGATACTTGCAAATGCCAATAAATTTGCATACCAAATGTCATTGACTTCACATTAGCAGTTCATCTTAAACTGATCTAATCACAAACTGATACATGTAAACTAAGCAAAAGTTTCAGAGTCAGTAGACCATGACTGAGGGGCAGGGCCAAATATTTTCCATGGAAATGAGATGTGCTAATGCTTATACAACTGAATACCAATTAACATTGGGCTACCACTAATGGTTCCCCTTGAAGACCTAATCACAAACTAATACATGTAAACTAAGCAAAATTTTCAAAGTCAATAGACCATGACTAAGGGGGCGGAGCCAAATAATCTCCATGGAATTGAGATATGCCAATGTTTATACAACTGCATACCAAATATCATTGACCTACCACTAGTGGTTCCCCATAAAGTGACCTAATCACAAACTAATACATGTAAACTAAGCAAAAGTTTCAAAGGCAATAGACCATGACTGAGGGGGCAGGGCCAAATAATCTCCATGGAAATGAGATGTGCCAATACTAATACAACTGCATACCAAATATCATTGACCTACCACTTGTGGTTCACCATAAACTAGACCTAATCACAAACTAATACATTGTTGATGCCGCCGCCGGAAACAGCATACCTTTGTCTCGCTTTTTACACCACTAAGGCGCAACAAAAACTATACTAGCATCAAGTATTAGGTGAAGACATGTGTATGTTTGATTTGATTGGTTGGGTTACATCAAAAGTCCCAATTATAGACGGACCAAATTTAAACTTTATCTTGCAACATTTTTATAAATTTGCAAACAATAACATGAGCAAATTTAACAATCCTAATGTGTACAAAATGATGATAAAGTTCAAACTCTTTTAGGTCATTTTTTAGTAGCAACAAACAAAAGAACTATGTCAATTGGACATGCTTTGATACTATATCTGCCCTTCAATTTTTACTTGATAACATTTTTATTCGCTTTGGAGATTCCGTATATCGTCAAGTTATCGGAATTCCAATGGGGACTTACTGTGCACCACTTATTGCGGACCTGTTTTTGTATTGTTACGAGTTACAATTTATGACTAAAATCAGCAAAGACCCATCGAAACAACATCTGATACAAAAATTTAACAATACTTTTAGATATTTGGATGATATATTGGCTCTCAATAATGACGACTTCAGTATGTATACTAAAGAAATTTATCCTGTTAAACTTACTTTAAATAAAGCTAATACTAACAATGACCACTGTCCTTTCCTCGATCTTGATATCTATATCATTAACAGGAAGCTTAATACAAAATTTTATGATAAAAGAGATGATTTTTCATTTCCTATTGTTAATCATCCATTTTTAGATGGTGACGTTCCCTTGTCACCATCTTATGGTGTTTATATATCTCAACTTGTACGATTCGCTCGTGTATGTAACAACGTATTAGATTTTAGCGAGAGAAATTTATGTATTACTGAAAAATTATTACACCAGGGTTTTAGATATCATAAACTAGTCAAATCATTTACTAAATTAATCATCGGTATAAGGACATCATTCGTAAATATAACTCAACATGCAGACATCTTATACGTTCGGGTATTTCACACCCAATCTTTTATGGTAATATTCTTTACAAAGCACAAAACTGTCAGTATTCACCTCAAAAGCTAACAAAACCTTTAAACAGACTTATTAAGAAGGGATATAGTTACGATACTGTTGTCAGGTCATTAAAGATTGCATATTTTGGCTTTAATATTGATTCACTTATAGGGTCTTTGCATCGGAATTAAACATCTTTATTCTAAAACCAGTTGTTGGCATGACACGGGTTATGTTCTTCTCATATATTTTATGATGGTATAATACTAAACCCCTAACAGGAGGGATTGTGCCTGATATTCATATGATGAAGACATAATCTTTCAATCAGTTTAACTGAGGTCTGGAGCTGGCATGTCAGTAACTGCTAGTAGTCTGTTGTTATTTATGTATTATTGTCGTTTTGTTTCCTATTCTGACATCGGACTCAGACTTCTCTTTAACTGAGTTTTACTGTGGGTACTGTTGTACGTTTGTTTTTCTACATTGGCTAGAGGTATAGGGGAGGGTTGAGATCTCAAAAAACATGTTTAACCCCGCCGCATTTTTGAGCCTGTCCCAAGTCAGGAGCCTCTGGCTTTTGTTACTCTTGTATCATTTTTAATTTTAGTTTCTTGTGTATAATTTGGAGTTTTATATGACGTCCATTATCACTGAACTAGTATTTGTTTAGGGGCCGGCTGAAAGACGCCTCCGGGTGCAGGAGTTTCTCGCTGCATTGAAGACCCATTGGTGGCCTTTGGCTGTTGTCTGCTCTATGGTCGGGTTGTTGTCTCTTTGACACATTCCCCATTTCCATTCTCAATTCTATCACTTATCTATTAATTCAATGAATACATACTATTTCCAGTTTGGTGGTAAAACCTTCTTTGTCTTGTAATATCTAGCCAATCTGTGGATTCTGGCTTCTACCAGAATCAGTCTGAACTTGGAGTCCCTATCCTGAAATATAAATTTTTCAGTGTATTTGCAAAGAAAAGAAATAAAGAAATAAAATTGATTCTTCTGAAATAACATGTGATACCTGTATTTTATAGAGTGGTGTAATACATGGCATGTTTAACGATCATATATCTGAATGTACCTCGATTAAGACACTGTATCTTCCTGGATGAAAAGAGAAAACTTGAAAAAACTTCAGGAAATTGTAGAAAGATCACTATTTCTGGAGGAAAATAGATAAAAATCCAGAAATCAAAAGAAAAAAATGTTTAATGAAAATTTTGAAAGGGGATGAAACAGTCTTCTGTGTACTGTATCTGTTCCATCATTCTCGCTTGACAGTTGTAATTATCTAATTTTACAGAATGCTGCAAAAAAGGGGACAGTTTTCAAAAGAAACTTTCACCAAAGAAGTGTTTTTTCAAGGCTTCAATATCTTAGTGTCAAATTATGATTGATATTAAAAATTTATAAATCTCAGTAGTTTTGGTGGCTGAAATTCAATATTAAAACTAATAAATGAATTTTAAAATACCCTATGTGAAATGACCATGGAAAAATTTCTCTCTCATTTTTTGGCAAATTTCAAGAGCATTTGCAGGCCTGTAATGACCAGCGATATTGTTGTCTTTTTTCAAAACTACCTCTGTTTTTTTGGGGGGAAAAATGCATAATTTTTATTCAAATTGGGAAATTGGTTTATTTTTTTTTAAAACCCATCTCCGATTTTTTCAAAACTTGACTGTCTTTTTTGCACAGTTTCATCACGTATATTTTGATTGTCAGACATTTTCAACCTGAAAGGTACTTTTTGGGGAGGGGAAAGAGACGGAAACAATGATACTTAATGCATTGAAAACCACATGTGTTACAAACACCATGATGATTCTGATCAGATACCTGGATCTCAAAAGTGCTTTCATAATATCAAAACAAAAACATCAATACAAAATTTACCTTCAATACTACCATTGCCATCACTTTTGGGAAAAATGTAAAACTTATTGGGAGGAATTTTAAGCCATTTTTTTTAGTAATTGGGAATTTTCTCTAGGGGAAAAAAGCCGAATTTCGGATGTAATTTGAGGCAAACAATATCACTGAATGACTGATATAAAATTCTAAATTTTTCCAGTTCTGGCGTTAAAAGTGAAACCGTTAACCCCATTTCTTAAATGGTCCATTATTCAAACTAATAAAATCCTTTCTATTCTCATTATCATAGCTTTTAGTCTGTTAAAACTTTAATCTCCACTTTCAATATTTAAAATTGGTTTTTGATCTACGGTTTAACTTTTTGATTTGATAAAATAGAATTGATACTCGAAAGAAATTGATAGTCAACACATGAATTGTTTTTAGTGTAAGAATAATGTACAGCTTATCTGAAACTCTGGTCAATTACAAACGTCAAAATCTTATACATGTGTGAAGACTTGAAGATGTGGTTTTGAAGTATTCATACCGACTTCAATCAATTTGAAAACTGAATTATTATCATAAAAACACAATATTTACATTACGGAATACTTTCAGTCAAGCCACATTTTGAGGTAATAGGCTTGACACTATAACCTGGTGAAAAGAACACTTCATGCGAGTTAAATTGTGTGCAGTAATCCATGAGGGATGTGTTCATACCTTCCTATTTCTCTCCATGTGTTTTCTAATGTTGACAGCTTTCTTGATGAGATGATACAGATCCTCTGGAAGGTCTGGAGCCAAACCTTTAGCTTTAAGAATTCTCAAAATTTTGTTACCAGTGACAAATCTGACCTGTGCAACACCATGTGAATCTCTCAGAATAACACCTGTAAAGAAATGTATTGTGAAGACATAAAGGTCATTGGTGGGACACATCTGACCACAACCTTAACATTTTTTGGTACACATATCAACTGTATAATTACTAACTATTTAAGTGATTTCCCATAATACATGTAAATGAATATAAAACTACAACATTGAGTATTATAATTTATGACTACAACACATTTAGTCATAAATAATAATATTGTAAATTCAGAAATTGTTGCAGGCACTTATTTATATTGTGATTTTTGAAGAATTAGCAAAAATGTGAGTTTAATAATTGAGATGTAAGGAAAAACTTCTTACTTATATAAGTGTCATATATCAGAATGCTAGTTCGTATTGATGCAATACTCAAGGAGTCGCAATATTCGCATTAATAAAAACCTCACAATAATTTCTGTACTCAAAACCAAAATAACTAATGCAACATTCTTATGTATTTCAAAATAATTGAGGAACGTTTTAGGTTAAAAATATATACATTTGTAAATTGCATTCAAATCAACTACAAAGAGTAAATATTCTTATATATCTTTAAATAGATGATTGCTTCAGTTTGAAAAATTATACATTGCATTCAACTTAGTTAAAGTACTTACATAATTAAAGGTAAATAATAGTCAGGGTTGTTCCATAAAAATATACATGGGACCCATGAAGGCACTTCCAAATCTCAACTTTGGGTGGGTGTCATCTATGTTTTTGCATGTAGTGGAAATGTAAGTGAAATTTTAATTTGCCTCTATCGGTGGTTACCCCATTTTCAAAATCCCTTCCCTGGGTGCCATGTATGTTTGAATGGAACAGCCCTCACTGTAAACATTGATATCAGTAGAAATAACTTATAATGGAAAGGTTGTTTTTGTACAGAATTCATTTTATTTTTTATCTTTTAATGTTTTTATGATCATTGGATTTTTGTATTATGTTAACCCAACATGTCCTTAACTCATATCTGAAACAACAATGTATAAATTTAACAAATATAAATTCATGCTAGAAAACCAATTTATGTTATATTGTATCACTCCATCCACAGCAATCATCATGGTTCACTCATCAAAATTGTGTTTATACTGCAGCTGACAATACTTATAGAACAAACCTATCTGAGATGGTGTCAATCCCTTCTTTGCCAGCTTGAATATCTGTTCTTGAACATCTTCTGATGTCAGTTTCAACCACTAAAAACAACAAAAATATTAATTTATCAGGATGATATCATAATTTTTCATAACTTGCAACTCCTTCAATACCTTTTGTTTATATTTCTTTTTGTGTTTTTTATTAAAACTAAATGAATACAGACAAGAAGGCTATAAAGACAAACGACCTGTTTTCTGAGCCATGATGCTGATCTGCAAAATTTATTTTGACCTGTGGGAGAGTTCATTTTGACCTGTGGGAGAGTTCATTTTGTTGCCATAAATATTGGTGTGTGTGTCAGAATAGAACATATTTTTTTTAAATTTTAATTCTTGAATTTACATTGTTACCTTAATTTGGTGATTAAAGGTTACTTACTGTTGGAACTGATCTTCTGTATGGAAGTGCTGACTGGGAAATACCCTTACTGTAAAAAGAAACATATTTGTCAAAGCTATCAAATATATCCAGACTGATTACTGGAGTTTAAACACTACATGCTCTATAGAAAAATAAGTGTAAATCATAACAACTGCCATAGTAACCTGAAAGTGACCATCTGAAAGATTTTAACAGGCTAAGTTTACTATTTCACTATATGTGACAAGGGAAGAATAAGTGAATTAATATCCGCAATAGAATTCATTTTTCTTGAGGATTATGTACTCTTTTGATGTTTTAAGGTTCATGTGGACCCTTTGGCTAAAATGGCTGCATTTTCACCTCAAAATTTACTCTGAGTACAGACAAACCTGCGCATCTGGAAAAGTTTTAAGGCATAGCATGCCCTAGATAAATAAACTTCTAATGCATTGTATGTTTTAGAAAATTTAAAACTTAACTGGATTTAGCAGTGCACTTTTTTTCGTTCCTGCAGAAGATGATAAAATTAACAAACAGTTGAGTTTCACTTGATATGGTCCACTCAGGTACACAGTTTAAATCACCAATTATTGTCAGGTATCTATTGTCCATCTATTGTCCATGTCAATCAAAACAGTTCACTTCAATTATTACCTGTGGGGAAGTTCTCAAACCACTTTCCCAACTTAGTTTATTTTGGCACCTTCTGGAGGAATGAAAAAAAGTGCACTGCAAAATCCGGTTAAGTTTTTAATTTTCTAAAACATAAAATATATTTGAATTTTATTTATCTAGGGCATGCTATGCCTTAAAACTTTTCCAGATGCACAGGTTTGTCTGTACTCAGAGTAAATTTTGAGGTGAAAATGCAGCCATTTTAGACGAAGGGTCCACATGAACCTTAATGCTAACCATATGGAAATTTTATAGAAAATCCACAGCCTTTCCCCATGTACTCTTATATTTGACAATCATGTACTAAATAGAATGAGGATTACTGTATGTAGTAGTGCTAGCAATGACTTCCCGAAAACAAGTTTTTAAATAAAGATATTAATAGTTAAAACAAGTACAAAAATATGAACCAATTCAGGTACACCTTCTAGGGTGTGCTTGACTTTGATGACTCAGTACAAGGTTTTGGGATTGTCAATGTTGTTTTTAGCGCTTTTTGTAAGCAATAGACACTAGTACACCATGGATTAACTTGTAAATAATCTGTTTCAAATGTTATAACGAAAGTCTGTAATAAAGTCTTTGATTTTTTTTAGAAGATTTTGGATTGAATCGACACAAAATCCATATTTACACACTTACACAATAAATATAATTTCAGTGAATAACAATTCCCTTTTGCATATGTACAAAATGGTATGTCTTTTTTATTCTGTATTGATGCCTTTTCGATATTGTTACACTTTGAAAATTTTGTAATACAGTGCTACACTACAGGAGGGGTTCTAAACTTAAACACAAAATGGATGAAACTCATATATACAGGTGGAACCAGGCTTGAAAAACTTTTCCAGTTGCACAAGTTTGACAATAATTTTTGAAGAAACATGGCCATTTTTAACCGAAGGCGATAATGAAGTAAGCTTAAACTCATACTATCTTTTAGATTTCATTAAATTGACGTTATATGTCTCTGGTTTTACAAATGAAAATGTTTCCAAAGATTATCAAGCCCCCCTTTTTTTCGAAAAAATATTCGATACTTTACATTGCCTTCAACACGGTCTGAAAACAACTTTAACTTACAACACAATTACCAAATAAATAAATTTAATGTGGGATTTTTAATGATCAGGTGTTAAATTTGTCATACAGATAGACCGTAGGCTTTCCGTGACGACTTCCTTTTCTTTGTATTAACGTTTTGTAACATAAAAATAAGAAAGATAGTTTGATTTTGATTAAAGGCTAGTTAAAATTAAAAATTTTGTTCTTTACTATTTCTGATATAGTCTGATAATTAATTATTTATTCTAGTTTTTCATATACCCAGGATTGTGCATGCGACCCATGATGGCAGCGTGGTTGTAAAAGACCCGGATGAAGAAGGAAGTTGTACAAGAGGGATAACTCTATTCTACTTTCATTTTCCCACACACAAGGCAAACTCATGTTTAGGCTTTTTACATCAAGATCGCTATTTGATTCATCGGTTATAATTTCATCCATTATTAAGATGACAGCAAAAGTAATTAGAATATGGAGAAATTATACCTATTCGTATATTCTATCAATGTTAAAATATTGTCATAGACTGGAAGGTTTGAAAGAAGGATTATTATTTGATGCATTCATATGTTGTAAACAATTACATATTTCTAATGTAAATACATGGTACTCTAGTATAGATTATATTCAGAGAGAGATTGATTTACCAAATTTTGACCAATCAATTGGTTCTTTATGTCAGTATGTTAAAAATAAACTATGTGAAAGTTATTTAACATTTTGGAATAGACTGAAGTATCAAACAATTAACTCTGAAAAAGGGAAGCTTGGTACTTATTTTTCTATAAAAAATTGTTTTAAAAAAGAAAAATATTTAGAACTACAGGATTTTAAAAAAAGACAGTCAATTTGTAAATTAAGAATAAGTGCTCACTCTTTAAAAATTGAGACAGACAGATATTCAAAAAAATATATAGAAAGATCTGAGCGTCTTTGTTCAAATTGCTCACTTGGTAAAGTTGAAGATGAGCTTCATTTTTTGTTAGAATGTCCTCTTTATGATACTCAAAGGGAAGACTTTTTTCAATACATATCTGACAATTGTTATAATTTTAAAAATTTAAATAAATCTTCTAAATGTTTATGGCTCTTGACTCAAGAAAATGTAACTCTTATGGAAAAACTGGGCTGTTATATTTGTGACTGTTTTGAATTAAGGAGATCAGGTATGCATATTGACACTAAGTCAAGTAAATGATTTGAGAATGAATGCATATGATGTAATTTTATTCTTTTATTCAAAATATATGTGGTTTTTGGCTCTGATTCTGACCAATGCTAATATACTAAACATATATTTTCAAGTGACTATTATTGTTGTTGTTACCAATTATGTAAATCAATTGTATCTGATTTTATGCCCTTTATGGGCCCTGTAATTTGAGAAATAAAAATATTTTATTCTATTCTATTCTATTCTATTCTCTTTTTCAGATATTTCTTGTTTTCTGAAACACAAAATGCATTTAACTTTTATGTATCTAGTCACAGGCACTTGTTTTCTATCCATGGCAAGGTCAATTATCCCTATATATTGGGTTTCACGTGGTGTGTAATGTAAGAGTGGAATATCAAAGTGTCAAAAGAGAGAAAATTGGTTGATAAAAACACAGCTGGGAACACCAAGAAAGATGACTGACGAAGAGTTATGGGAACTTTTTTTACCTTATCATATATTTCTGATAGTTTCCCCGACCTATTCACATATTTTCAACCTTGAAAAAGTGACATATTCCAGTGGCACATCCTATCACCTTGTATATAAGAAGTGGCCCCCACCCCCGAGATCTAGTGCAATGCCGCTAGGACTTAAAACTTTTCAAACTGCACTGGTTTGTCTGTACTCCGACATGCTTTTGAGATGTAAACACAGCCAGTTTAATCTATTTGTTAGGAAGAACCTTAAGACCTTTAAAAAGCATTTTATTATTACTGACACAGATTCTTAGTAGAACAGAATTGAATAGAACATTTTTATTTTCCTAATCATAGGGCTCATTATAAGCATATCGATCAAGTTACAAATACAGACGTCAATACAATATAATTATGATTATTATACATATAACAGACAATAATTGTCCAAAAATAAAAGGTGAGAGTCAGTTAATACAAAGGAGGATACCTCCTGGACCACCTCAGATATTCATAACTTAGTGTTAATACCATATATTTATATATATATATATATTATTTTGTTTTTTAAATATTTTTTTTTGTCTTTTGTCCATCTTATTTCAAATAAAGAATTAAGATAATTACTGAATTCTGATATAAATTGCATGTCATCATTTGACATTATCCAGATCAAAAGATCATCTTAATGCACAGCAATGTCCTCAAGTTATGAAAATTTATGAAAAATGTTATTAAGATATTAATACAACCATTTTTCCTTGAATATCAAATATTTTTTTCATAACGACCTCTCTCAATTCTGAGACTGTGGTTACTTAGTCTAAATCTACATAATATGAATCTCTTTTGTTGGTATTTGATATTAACAAAATTTTCAAATTCAAAGCAGAGTTTGAAATTAAAATAGGTTTTTAATTTGCTGTGCTCTGACATCATGAGACATGGAATCTCTTATTATTAATAGGTGAAGCAATAACTTCTGAGATAATGGTACCCTTAGTTAAGGACTAGCAGTTCATCAGCACTGAGACTAATATGTGTTGTAGAAGCCTCAGATCAGCACTAGTATCTACCCAGTTCTAAAGTGAAAATTAATTTAATAAATTTTTCAATTCAAACTATTTGATTGTTTACTCAGCTGTAGCATGTTCTAGTTGTAACAATATCTAAAAAATATTTTTAGAATATTTTGCAAAACATCATAGAAGTAAACAAATATTTTTACTGATTATTGTATCACCTGACTGTACTAAAGTTAATAAGATATTTTGGGAAGACATTTTTATTGAATGTTTTAGAAACGTTTTACTGAAATATTTGTTTTAATATTTTAATAACATAATTAGGACGTTTTCAATGTCCATTGAAAATATCAGGACAATATATCATAAACATCTTCATGAATTCCCATAGTCCTTTCTAATGTCACGAAAATGTTTTAAAGATATCATCAAAATAATCTGAATTTTTTTAGGCATGATCTATTAAAAACATTTCTAAATAATGTGAACTGAATATCCAGGATATGTTGTAGTTATGAACTATATTATGATAAATGTTTTTATCGCTATTTTGTGTATTTTTCCTTTGATCTTTTTTTTTTGCGATAATTTTTTATATCATTCTACTTGCTTGAGATAGAAAATTATTGCTAGAAACTAATTTCTTTAATTTAAACTTTTCTTACCCGGTGCAGTTATGAACAAAAACAATACGCAATTAAACAACTGCCTTCTACCTCATAGGTTTTCAGTGGACAAAACATGGTTCTCTGTTTAAATAATAATAATGTCAATAAATTCTTTATTTATACAAAGGGTGAAAGGATACATCAGGTATAAGTCTGCACCCTCTATCATCAATTTTAGCATTAAAAAGAATATGAACAACATCTTTTCTGTATATAATTCCAAAATGGCTTGTTGTAACATTCTTTAAATATTAGCTTTTTTTATTTTTTAAACATAAAGAGAATACCATTTAAATGCAATGTGTCATAGATATTTCTTTTTCATATAAAAAGCAGACTTTACACAGATATTAGATAAAAATGGTTTTTTTAATGTTTCTTTCATCATGTCCGTTACATCTTACATATATTTAATATGATATATTAAGAAAAAATGTTAATAAAATATTATTTTTTGTCATTCACATAAAATGATAAATGTTCTGACAGAAGATTATATCTATAAACATTTTAAATCATCAGAATAAATATTATAAAATATTTAAGAAAAACATTTTAAAAAAAACACAATTTAACATTTTGATGAAATATATCTTTACAAAAATAGTATTCATATATATTTTTTGACGTTAAAAAAATATCCATAAAAAGTGTTTTGGCAATATTTTAGGAAAACATAAATATAACCCGTCTAATAATACCAGGAAAATATTTGTGTTAGCTGGGTAAACATCAAATATACATTTAACATTTAAACAAAGAGATTGGACTTAAAAGTCCAGATTATGTCATCTAGTTCTATCATTAAAACTAGAATAATTTTAAAAGGATTTAAGAATTTTACTACTTTTGCAAATCCAGGAGACAAATATAATAACCTTTATTAATACCTCTTCCTTTTACTGGTATGAACTCCACACAACAGAAGTACTGTCACTAACTTACATTTACCAGCATGACCAGTGGCGGATCTAGAAATTTTCATAAGGGGGGCCCACTGACTGATAGAGAGGGGGACCACTCCGGTCATGCTTCAGTGATTCCCTGAATAATTAACCAAATTTTTCCCACAAAAGGGGGGACCCGGGCACCCTGCTCCCCCTCTAAATCAGCCCCTGTTTACAATACAAAATACATGAACTTTATCTTCAATTTTTGGGGTTCAATTGTTCCTGAAGAAGTTCTATCTAGAAAAAGACCAATTTTTATAAAGTATTATTTTCATTTTCTAGCACTTGGTTGATACAGCTGTTGGTAGACTGTAAGTCCCTGAATGTATCAGCTAATGATAATCAGTGCTTCAATACTGGCATGATTTATATAACATATCATTCTTAAATTCATTGATAAATTAGAAGAAAAATAAATTGAAAAGCATAATCTAAGGTTCCAACTCCCATTGGACAAAGTTGACCATTGATAAATTTGGCTATTCTTTTTAGGTCTATTTTGGTCATATAGCTCTCAACATGTTCAGACTTTTGCACATCATTCATTGGCTTTAATTTTTGAGTCCCAGCATTTCTGATGAAAAAACATTTCAGATGCACCAAATTTATGGTCATTTATCCACTTATTATACCCCACGCAACGAGTGATACAATTTTTTTTTCTTACACTTATTTTATTTCTCCAATGACAATGTGGGGACGTGGGGTATGTGAGCGCGCTCACTAAGGTTCTTTCATTTTAATTTTGAGATGAATATATGCAACAACTAATTTATGTAAATATTGAAGGCATATAGTATTCCCTGTTGTCCCACCTTGCAGAGCCTACCTTTGGTACTTATTGTTAATAGTTTCTCGTCCATGAGATGCATGATAATTGCCACTGGATTTTAAGAAAACAACAATCAATCAATTGTATTGTATTTAGTAGATAAAGGGTTTTTTCTTACTTTTGCTCATTTAAAACATATCAAAAATATCTAAACAGAAATTTTGATTACATAATACCCTTTATATTTACATGTTGAATTGAATTGTTTCGTATTTTTCATGTTGGGGCCTTTTATAGCTGACAATACGGTATGGATTTTTCTAAGTGTTTATGGCTGTGTGGTTGCCTATAATTGCTAGCATCCACTTCATTTGAACTTTGGTGGATAGTTGTCTCACTGGCAATTATGC